CCACCCATATGCCCGCCGCAGTTCCCACATGCCCGCTGCAGCTCCCGCCCCGCCCACATGCCGGCCGCAGTTCCCACCCCGCCCACACTCCCGCCGGCCGCTGCTCCCGCCCACACGCCCGATGGAACCCGCATAACATCACACCGGGACCGGCAACAGCACGCCGCCTTCTGGGACGTCCAGTCCTCCCCCAGCCAGGTAAGACATCCCCCGAAAATAAGACCTAGTGTCTTTTTTCGTGCACAAAAGAAAATAAGACACTGTCTTATTTTCGGGGAAACACGGTATGCACATCAGGAAAGTTGGAGCAGGGGAGTCATAATCCCTCATTTGTATACTTATTCTTGGTCAGTGACTTAAGAACTGACGATATGAGGGTCCATGTGGCACGCAATTTGCTAGCATGTTTAAGAATGGACCGTAGCGGCAGTCTCCATGATTACCTTGACAGATTTTTTTACTTAAACAGAAACCGTAATAAAAAAGGAGTTAAAAACTTGGAGCAATACTTTTCTAGTTTGTCTACGGATACGGTTTAGGACCAGAAGCAGAAATTGCACTAAAAACATGTGCTAATAACATGTGTCCCGTCCCCCCCCTCCCCCCCTCCTCCTATTGCCAAAATGCTGCAATAAAAGGAGGAAAAACCCTTGTTCTTAAATATACTTGCCTTACCCTGGTTGCCAGTAAGATCCTAGGGAATGCCAAGAAGCAGCACTGCACTTGAGTGCAATCCCCAGAAGAACATCACCCCATGCACTACAGAAGCCGGCAGTAAGGCAAGTATATTTCATACAGTTTCTTGGTTTGGTAATGTTAAGAAATATTTTGCCATGGAGGTGAAGGGAGGTGGGGGGGTCGGGCTAAATATAAGTGCATCATAAAGCCTCTTTCACAAGAGCATTCTGATCACGCCCGTCTGTCAGGTTGTTAGTCTATGTTAGTCTATGGCCAGCCGGATCTAAAAGTCAGTTTACATCTTGCTACCCCCAGCTCCGGGCAGGTCCACAAAAATAAACAGATCAGAGTTCTGTTTCAACAGACCTGACCATGCCGAATTGGAGGCAACCTGATGAAAACGGACACATGACCAACATGGTTCAGGTAAATTCCTTTTTTTTCATCGCAAGATGGAAGAAAAAATAAATTTAAAAAAAATGTACGGACACAGATGTCTTTAGTAGGGCATCCGTGCAGATTGGAACTGAAGGCTTCTCTCTGAAAGGGGCCTACAGTTTGCTTTAAAAGGAGGATACTTTCATAAATCAGAGGTCCGGATATTTTTCTGATATTTACTACAGCATGAGGACTGAAAATAAAAAGCCATTCCACCCAGCTAAAATCAGAATGCAATTACCTGAGCATATGACCGTGGGTTGAACTCCTTAGCATTGGGATTCAGAGTGGATTTTCTCACTTGTCTAGAAAAATAAACATTTTGTTATTGCGCAAGAAAGAAACAAAAAAAATCTGAAATACTGTGATTTTCAAAATGCTAACAGACACATTTGCTTGGGGCCTATTCACACCAGTGCATTGTGACCAGTGTTTTACTATGCATTCCCACAACCACAAGGCAAAGCTCAGTGTGTGGCATAGCTATGCATTCAGTAACACACATGGGCGCGATCTGCGCATAGCAGTGCGTCAAGACAATTGTGGCTTACAGCATCATTGGTGCATTGTGAATTAAAAATAATGGTCTTCTTACTGCAATGCACATAAAATTCATGTGTTACCGCAACACACAGTTATTAATGGGCCCTTATACTGTGCCATTAGAAGACTTAGCAAAACAATAAACTAGACATAATTCCCAGTAAGCCAGATCAGATCTAAAAATGCTTAAAAAGGAGAGCTATGGGGTTAAGGCTTTTCCCCATAGTTCTCCTTAGGGTAACGGGAGGACACAAACTAACGTCCTCCCGTCACCCTAGGCTCAGTATACTGCGAGCTGTAGCTCGGGGTATACTGAGACGCCGCAGCTGAAGCGGATCCCGACAATTGTGCCGGGATCTGCCTAGCTGCGTGACTGACAGCTGGCTCAGCCTATCTAGAGGCAAAGCCAGCTGTACCCGCCCCCTCCCCCGTCCGATCCACCAGTCAGCGCTGGCGGAACGGAGCGGGGGGAATCCATTCCCTCCCGTCACGGCAGAGAGCCGTGACAGGATCGAGAGGTGAGCGAACGCCAGTATGTGCTCGCTCACCTCCCGATCTACTGAGCCGACCTGCGACAGTCTCATTGTCACAGGTCGGCTAGAACTATGAGGTGAGTGAAAAGCACTCACCTCATAGTTCTCCTTTAAAACTAACAAACCGTGCTGAAGTACAGACATCTTGTGCTGACCTTCCTATGGATCACTGTGTCCCTGTAAAGTCCCCTAGATACTAGACCAGGCTGTGTAAAAGGGGCTTCTAGTTGAAATTAAATTCTACTAGGGTTGTAACAATTATTTTCATATTCAATTAGTTGGACGATTTTTCATCCCATTCAATCGAATAAATAAAAAAATAAATACCACCTTTTTTTTAAAATACAATACACAAATGCAGTGTTACAAACGTTTACTTCAGAATTAACAAACCCGAGGCACAATTTTTGCAATCGCACCTCACAGGAATGCACAGCATTTTGGTACCAGTGCGGGGGAAAATTGCACTGCAGGGGAAAGGCGTGTTTGGGGTGCTATTGAAATGAATGGCACCACAGTGAAATGGACAGGGTGCACAGGGTTAACGGCCCAAGAGGATCTGACCGCAACGCGCCCAGAGACATCCTGTGCCGGATTCATTTCTTCGTCCAGCCTGGCTCAAAAAAATCTGTGGATTTTGATGGTGCAGCGATTACTATTCTCCCTGACCTATCAAGACATACCCTCTTCCTGCAGCGGCTGATCCGACCATTACTTGCGCAGATTTCCTCAGCTGGAGCCACCTATAAGTGGGGACACCCTTTCCACTTGCAAATCCAGAAGGCAGAACTTCCTCCTGATGACACCGGAATAGCTGCCAGAACTCTTCGCATTCCTAGGAGCGGAATCTATTGAGGTACCCGACTGGCTTATGCCTCCTACCACCGACAGGCCCGCAGCTGTGCCCCTAACACGCCCGCCCGGGCCACGACGTGGTCGCTCACGCCTCAGATCCCAAACGGCCCGAACCGCGGGCCCCACGGCCAACGAGGCATAGGAACATCTCCTTGAGACCGATACCGACTGCGATGTCAGGAATGCAAATGCTTAAGCCTTTGAGCCGTTAGCCAGCGGATACCCACCTCGCCCCTCCTCCGGATGGACCGCCTCGATATTGTGGGCCTGGTTGCTGCCGTTATAATTGCCTGTACTTGGGTCTCGGACCACCCTGTGACCCCCAATGAGAACTGACCTTTCGAGCTCGCCAGTGACAGCCTCAAGGACTCCCTACTGGTAGGAAGCCCCATCGTCCAGCTGATCACCCTTTCTGGGACACGCCTGCATCAGGAGTTCTTAAAGGCCCGGGACGGCAAAGGACTCCACAATCAGTTTCTCAGGACTCCCAGGCCTACAGCTGCCACAGATTTGTAGGATGTTTGCCACTAAACTTTATATTTTCCTCACAGGCGGGACTGTACCTCGCACACGCAGACGTATTCGGGAGGCCCTGGACCATCGTGAGGCATGGGTCGTACTATTTTGGGACAGATAAGCTGGTCTGCTGACAAGGCATTGGGGGTCCAGGTACCCACTTTATTGTATGCCCGTTGAGTTTGAATACCCTGGTTTGATTCTGTTTGTTTATATTATACAGGGTGCGATGGGAGTTGTTTCCTACAGTGGTGCCCGATTATCTGGGTGCGGCTGGCCCAGTGTGGATGATCAGCGGAGAGGGCGAACCACGACATCATCACCCCGACACCCGGAGATCGGAAGTCTGCAAGAAGGGATGCATGGCCGCACCTTCTCCCTCTTGGCTGGCCTTCCGACCGGAACACCTGCGTGGTGAGCATATGGGCCCACAGATGGGACTCATGCTGTAATTTATTGTTTAGTGTTATTGTTATTTTCTGGGTTTTTTAGGTTGGTTATTGGTTCACTTCCCTGCTAGACTATGGCGCCAAAAATACTTTCCCGGGGCATGCCGGAACTTGCTGTAACCGGGGGACTATGAGGATGAGCTGTTGTGCTGAGTGCTTTGGGGAGCATCTCGTGAAGCTTCCCTGCTTTTCACACCCCTAACTTAGGTCCTCTCATCGCGACTAGTGTTGAGGGTAGTTTAGTTTAGTTCAGTTTGTGTGTATACATTCTTGTTGTCCTTGTCTTCCCTGTCCCCCCTCCCCCCCACCACCACCATTGGTGTGTGAACACCTTTCTCCATTAGGCCTTTACTGACTCAGCTTAGTGTCGACCCTCCTGTTCGTTGTGGGACCTCCTATACCTTTCCCATCTGACTATGAACCAGCGGGGGGAAGACACGGGGGGCCCCATGATAACACGTTTCCTTTCCTGGAACGTGAAAGGCCTAAACATCCCAGAAAAGCGGTCGCGGGTGCTCGGGGGTCTGTGGAGACTCAGGACGCAGGTGGCATACTTACAGGAAACAAGGAAACACACTTTCGTTCGGATTGCATCCCCAGACTCTCCAACACTCGCTTTCCCTTTGCGTACCACAGCCCCACTCCCCATACCAAAACTAGAGGAGTCAGTATATTGGTGGCTAAGAATTCAGGTTGGCAGCATATCTCCTCGCTCTCTGACGGTAACGGCAGATACCCATTTGTGAAGGGCCGTTTCTTCGGCGCACTGGTAACATTAGTGAATATCTACGCTACCAATACTGATCAGATCTCCTTCCTGGAAGAATGCTTCCTGGCCGACTTCACTGAGGGCACCGTACTTGTCGGCGGTGACTTCAATGTAGCCCTGGATCCCCGGCTGGACGTGTCGAGGGGTGATTCGCATCAATCATACTCACACCTACGCCGCCTCCGGCGCACACTGCACGCTGAACAGCTGATAGATGTCTGGCGCCTCTTACACGCCAGGGACCGAGACTACTCGGCCGCAGATCAAATGTACTCCAGACTGGATTACTTTCTGGTTAAACAAAGGGATTTACATAGAGTGAAAAGTGCACACATAGACGTTATTACTATCTCTGATCACACCCGATCCTACTTGAGATGTCATTACACTCAGAAATGGCGCGCCCATGGCACTGGCAGCTCAATGACCTCCTTCTAGATGACGAACTGTTGAGGGGACAGGTAGCACAGGACCTGACTGACTTCTTTACACGGAACCAGACTCTACTCCCTTCACCGTTTGGGAGGCCCACGAATGCTTTGTGAGGGGGCTATTTCCCCATGCCTCTCACGCTAGAAAAGCACGCCAAAGCACGGGCAGATCGGCCATCTAGAACTGCAGCACAAACAATCCATGGTGGTAGCTCTGGAGGTGGAATTATGTACATTACGCCTACGCCTGAATGACCTACTCCTAGGCAGACTTAAGGCTAGGCAGGTAAAAGTAAGGCGATCCTACTACGAGTACGGCAACAAGCCTAGCAGATCTCTGGCCTTAGCCCTTAGAGAATCCAGGGCCCAAATGTTTATACCACATATAGCAGCGTGCGATGGAGGGCTGCTAATTCAGAGACCATTGCTTACCGTTTCCGGGAATTCTTCCAGGAGCTATATAATCTCGAGGGCCCTCAATCCCCTGAATTCCTGGAGCGGAAACAGGAAAAGATTAGAGCGTACCTTGCTCAGTCAGGCCTACCCCGCTTATCAGCGGAGGAGGCGACAGCCCTGGACGCTCCAATCTCGTCAGTTGAATGGACTGAGGTGCTGAAACAAATGAAGCCTCGCAAGGCTCCTGGGCCAGATGGTTTCTCTCTCCGTTACTTTAGGTCCTTCCCAGATCAACTAGGAGTCCCTTTCCTTAGGGTGTTTAACTCGCTACACACAGGACAACCTTTCCCGGATCACAGTCCTCCCGAAAGTAGGGAAGGATCCCTTGCTCTGTTCTAGTTTCCGTCCGATATCCTTGTTGAACGTCGACTTAAAACTATTTTCCAAGATTATAGCCAATCGTTTGACGGTGATATGCCGGCTGATACATACAGACCAGGTAGGCTTTGTCCCACGGAGGGACGCCAAGGATAACACGGTCAGAGTGCTAAATGCAATTTACCTGGCGTCAAATAGAAAACGACAATTTCGCCCATTACACCGCACATGTTACATATCGTCGCAAATGTCAGAATGAGAGAAATAATTTTAGACTGGGTTCACACCTAGGCGTACCGAATATGCGCGTTTTTTACGGCGATTCGCGGTAAAAAAAACACGCGACAAACGCGCGTTTCCGAGGGCGATTTGGCTGTATGCTAATGGATACACGTGGCAAATACGCCCCAAAGAAGCTCCTGTACTTCTTTGGGCGTAGGGCATTCTTGCGCGCTGTAAAACATCCAGGTGGGAGCCATGCCCATAGGCAATCATTGGTTTTCACATGTTGAGCGTTTTATAGCGAAAAAGGAACGCGCTGTAAAACGCCCAGGTGTGAACCAGGCCTAAGGGCCATTAATCACTGATAACACTAAACTGACGAGCGGTAAAAGCATCGCCTATGGTCAATTTTGGGTATGGTAGTTTTTTTGGTGGCGCGCAATTTTAAAGCTCGACATGTTTGGTGTCCATTTACCCGACGTGACCCCGTCTTTTATATTTTACCAAAAATATGGGTAATAATCATTGTTTCCTAATATAAATGGGGAAAAAAACTTTTCAAAATTTTCAATAATCTTTCCTTAATATAGTAAAAAATAAAAATCCCAGTGGTGATTAAATGCCACCAAAAGAAAGCTCTATCTGTCCCCCAAAAAATGGTATAAAAATCATTTCAGTACAGCGTTGCATGAGGGAATAAACTTCAAAGTACCGCAGCACTGAATACTGAAAAATGGCCTGGCCAGGAAGGGGGGTCTAAACACCTGGTCTTGAAGTGGTTAAACCAAGGTGCACCTGTTTAGTAAGCATTGTTCACCCAAGAAGGTGGTTTGTGGCAGCAGACATTGGCCATTTTCCCCCCTGTAGGGATTAAAGTTGCATTTGTCTAGTGTAATCTTTACAGCCAGTCTTGCTTGCATGGCAGCACTAAAAGTAAAGGTTAAGGGATGGTACTTTCGCTTTGTTCTTGTGCCCAATTTGTCAGACAAGCTACAGAAAGAGCTAAAAGAATTATGTGACCCTTGTCACAGGGTAAAACAGGTTTCTACCTAGCTTGTTTACACTTTTGCTCAGCTCCTCGGTTTCAAGTGATACCTCATTTTCCCACTACCTAAAACTCTCTGCGCAGCAAAGGTTATGCATGAAGACACAAGTTTAACAGAATGAGTGGTACAAAGAGCTAAAATGAAAATAAAGTTTTACTCACTCAGCAGCATTTTCTTTTTTGTCATCCTTATCATCCCGATCCTGCTTGCCGGGGCCAGAGGTTTGTACACCCTGTGATGTAACCTCTGGGCCTCTCTTGGGTTCAGAGCTACTACTGCTAATGGATGGGGAGATGCTAGGACTACTCGGCTTGCTGCTGCTGTTACTTGTAGGTGCATTGCTGCCACTTTCACTAGCTGACTCCTTGGAACTTGAATCTGGCTTTTCCTTCAGAAGTTCTCTTGGCTTCTCCACACCGTCACGACTTTTTCCAAGAATGTGATCAACAGCATCTGGGCTTGAACTAGACTGTAGCTGCAGTAAATACAAGATAGGAACAATTAGCTGAATAATATAGGGCACTAGTGCTTATAGCTGAATTCCAGAGAAATAAAAAAGGACACCTATTCAAAAATACATAACAATGCTTTTATAAATACT